TCTTTCCTCTCAAGTTCATTCATTTCTTTTTGCAATTGGATGGCATTGTACTTTCAGATGAATGCATACTTCGAAATTGGCCAGGATCGTAACATCTATCAATTAAATGTTTTTTGTTATTAAAAAAAAAAAAAAAACAGTTGCTTGCCAAGCTGACGGATCAGAAAATGGCCAGAAACGTGTCATTTATGTTGATTACCAGCCTGCACAAAAAAATCAAGAAACAACAAGATGAAAAATCCTATGAAAAAGAAAAATAACAAGAGAAAACAGAAAAACAGAAAAACAAAAAAACCTATGTTACCAGTTGTCCGATGGCAGGACGTCCTGGGCGGACAGTCAGGGGGGTCCCGGTCGTCTGGGCCCGGACAACACCATTTTTAGCAATTAAATGCACGAAAAAAATAAAAAAAAATTGGGTGTGCCTTTGATTCTATTTTTTATTCCAAAATTGACAACGAATTTCGATATCATCCCGAGGCAAAAGTTGTTCAGTTTATGTTTCTGCATAACATAGGTTTTTTTCAGATTTTTTGGAGGCCTTTTTTTTTTTTTTTTTTTTTTTGGAGTATAGAAGACGATCGTATTATCGTTTGGCAAGTTTACTTTATTTTTCTGCACAACTTGTTTTTTTTTCTTTACTCTGTTTTTTTTTTTTTTTTTTTTTTTCTTTTTTTTTTTTTTGGCCGTTCGGGCTCGGACAGTCTGCCAGGGGAGGATGTCCGACCGGTTGTCCGAGCGGACAACCCGGACGATCAGGGGGATCCCGGACGTCCGATCAGGTAACCTAGAAAAAAACAAAAAAAAACGGTTGCTTGCCAAGCTGACGGATCAAAAAATGGCCAGAAGCTTGTATGTTGATTACCAGCCTTCACAAAACTCAGGGAACGAGAAGAAGAAAAATCTTACGAAAAAAAAGCCTGGCAGCTGGGAGGGACAGCTAGAGACGCCCCTAATGACAAGTCTCAGTTAGTGAGCAGTTAGACAACAGGATAGAGCAGCCAGTAGTCAAGGATTGTGTCATGTAAGCTAACATAGTAGGCAGGGGTGAGGGGGGTTACATCCTTCCTACAGGAAGTAATCCGTGCTGTCCTCCGGGCGCTCCCACCGTAAGGGGGAGGAGCGTGAGTGACTTGCCGGTGGAATAGGAACCGCACTGATGATCCCGAGAAGAGAAAGGAGTCAGGGCCATAAGGTTCTGGTTTTTTATTTAATAAAAATAAAATAAAATAAAAAAAGATACACGCCACGAGACGCAGAGAATCGGTGGGTTCCACGATGAAAAGGAGGGACTCACATACAAGAATCGAGAGATGTCATGCGAAAGGCAGAGAGCCCCTTCACACACACACACACACACACACACACACACACACACACACACACACACATACACTGAATCTGTGCGAAAAGCATCACAGCGCGAAACTGGCAGGGAGGGTATTCCAACCTTGAGAGGAAGAGGTGCCTTGACATTATGGCCGACAGTTTTCAGCATCCCCGGAAGAAGACTTGACCGGACAACCTGCATCGAGAAAACAAAGAGAGATCAGAGAAGTTTCCCTCCAGGATTTAGGGTTTAGGGTCTAGGGTTTAGAGAAGTTTCTTGACTGGACAACCTGCATCCGGACACGTCCACAGTGCGCTGTACGCAACTGCACACGTGCATTTGTGCACATGCACTGGCACATGGAACTTCTTTTCTTCTCCATTCCTCGCATGTGTCGCGTGTGAAGAGCACGGTAGTGCGCATGCACGCACGGTGTGCACTTGTGAGCATGACGGGAACTGGCACAGACGCTGGGTGCACGTACACAAGCGCAAACGGAAACACGAACAATTTGAAAGCCATGTTCACCCCCGAACAGAAGGCCCGTCCATGAACGCTGCATCTGGACTGAAAGTTCCCCAAGGTACAGCCATAATGATCGGGTGTTCTATTCGGGTGAACACGGTAGGGAAGCAAAAACTGGGTAGCAGGGCGAGGGAGCAAGGCACCACCGGTCGGCGAAAAACAAAAAAAAGGAGTGAATGCACGCACCTCAAAATCTGCAGAGCGTGGGTTCCCAATGATAACCGCCGTCTTTCCGTCATCTTGTTTATTAACCATAGAGAAGTTCTCTTCTCGAGAGCAAAGCACCCACGTGAGGACTTCAGTGAACCCTGCCATGGCGACCTGATCCCGTAACACAAGCAAGAAGACAGAACAGCAACCTACTATCAGATTCATCCATGTTCTTTGTGCGAATTCCACCGCAAGGGGTTCGCTTGCGGGCCTGCCCAACGATCATAGAAGCACTAGGCAAAACGCCCCGACAACAGAGCAAAAGCAAAATAGGAAGCGGGAGAGGACGGTGAGGCGGCAGGGGTGGGTCAGTCCTCCAAACACAACATCTGGACTCTCGCTTCTTCGGGTTGCACCAGATTCCGCAATCCCCTCCAGGAACAAAAGAATGTATGAAAATGTACACACACACACAACCTGTGTTTTTTTTGCTGTTCTCTAGACCTCAGTTCATCAAATGGAATGGAAAGAAGGGCGAAGGACACGCAGCGCATCTTTCTTCGCATTCACCAGCTCTACCGACCACATTGCCATGTTCGTTTTCTTTCTTTTTTTTTTTTTTTTATACCACATTGCCATCTTCCATGATTCGTTTTCTTTTCTTTTCAATTTTGACCATTTCTTGATTTATGTGGGTCGTCCTTGCGCAGGGGCCATGCTAATCTTCCTTCCCTGCTGCGTAGCATCGTGTTCGTGTTCAGAAGTGAATGCGAACATGTTCGCCCGAAAGCGAACGAGCATCCAAAACCCTCCAAATGCGAACATTAAAGGAAAAAAAAAACTTCAAAAATCTCATAAAAATATTAATAAATAATAATAATCTGAAACAATTTATATATGTCATGTGAAATGTGAAACAACAATACAAGCAACTTTTGCCTTGGACTCCTGTTCAAATTCTTAGCCAAACGTGAGTCAAAACTCAAAAACCGAAAAACATATATATATATATCGTCAAATAGAATATATATATATATATATTTATGTATATTTTTTTACGGAAAAGAACATTATATTCGCCCGAACACGTTCGCTAGGCGTTCGCACGAACGAGGAGGGCCGCAAAGACGTTCGCCGTGCTATGCAGCTTCTCTGTATCGTTCTGATTTTAGCGGATGTCCAGCAGAACAATGATTCATAAACGAGACGGGGGTAAAAAATCAAAATGAAAATATCCTTGTTTTTCAAGTACCCCATGTTTCAATTCCATATCACGTCCACACGTCTAGATTTGGTCCAAGCCCGTCTAGATGTGGATGTTCGAGGAACAGTCTGGGTGTTCAAATCTCATATAGCCACGGTCGGAACCAAATAGAACACACGGTCTATACACCCGAATAGAATGCATGGTCTATATAACCGAATAGGACGCACAGTCTATATACCCGAATAGAACGCACGGTCTATATATCCGAATAAAACGCATGGTCTATATACCCGAATAGAATGCACGGTTTATATACCTGAATAGAACGCACGGCCACTATCGTCGTACCTAGACTGAAAGATGCCCTTGAGACAGCTATAATGACTGTGCATTCCTTTTGTGTGAAGGTGGCCTCCAATCTACCAAAACATTTTAACAAGTCACCCTTGTACAGTTTTGCCCATCATCTGTTCCACTGAGATTACAGAAGAACCTGCGACCAAAAAAAGCTATGGCTAAACTGTTCATTTCCCCCTTTGTTATATCCAATTACTGCACTTAGATTGCGTTGTGGCAGCTACATCTGGCGCAACATGCCCTTTCCAGAAGGCTTGGATTTTTTAGTTGCAATGTGTCTATTAACTGCTGCTGTCACAAGGATCTTGTAGTGCTACAGTGTCCTTGTCTTTTTTTCCTTCTTCTTCTTTTTTAAGGAAAGGTTAATTTTATTCCAAAGGCAAATTTCAGAAGTCGTTAAACCACTAGTACCTCCGCCAGTGTTGGGAAATTACAATGTTTTGCCAGTTCCCAAAGTTATCGGGGGTGGGACACAGGTTCGGCACTGTCCCATAAATCAGATTTTTATATTGCCCGTGAGTGAAAGAAAAAGGAAAAAAAGAAAATGCTATCTCTACTGCAATGATGTCGGGCAGGGTAGTCTTGGAAGCCTACGTGCTCAGAGTCTTCCTCCACAGAATGCACCTCACCGGTAAGGCGGTCACATTCTGGATTATGTTACTGTTTTCTTTTTCTTTTTTTTCTTTTTTGCTCGTGTGTTTCTGATAAGTCCCCTGCCAATGAACGAGGCAGGGCGGAATCCGTGAATTGCTCAGGCCGTCCGCGACCTGCTCAAGCTGTGTTTTGTCAGAGGATTGTAACACTCATCACACTGGTACTAAGGGGAATGTATCCAGCCATTTTCACGGCCGGATCCGTGTGCCCATTTTTTCCCCCTTCTATTCTCTTTTCCAAATCTGACAACCTGGGCACAGGGCTGAGATGCCCTCACTGAGGGCACACTCACACCACCACTTCCAAGAATGTATACAACTGCAATCACGGCCAAAGCTTTGTTTCGTTTTTTTTCTTTTTTCTTTTTTTCTGAGTTCACGGCCGCAACTTTTCTTCTTCTTTTTTTTTTTTGTTCTTTCCGTGAGAGTACCAGAAAGAAAACGGAGTGGTACCCAGGCTCGGCAAACTCGGAGCGCAGTGAAATTCAGGGTCGGCAAAAACAGGCTCGGAGGTACTAGTAGTTAAAAAAAAAAAAAAAAAAAAAAAAAAAAAACGGAAATTGAAACTTCGTTACCTACTGGCCTAGCTCAGTTGGTACACCCCCCCTGAACTGAACTGTTGAAATACAGACCAGGTGCTGAGTTCGAACTCCGCTAGAAGCAGATGATTAAAACACTACATAGTACATTTCTGAATTACCTACAGCAGGTCAGCGGCATGATGACATATGTCAAGGCCATAGCACTTTCAAAAAAACAAAGAAAAGAGGGACCTTTGCACCTGTACCAGTATACCCAATCCCAGCACCCAACTTGTATCTATACCCAGACCCTGTCCAACTTCAAGGTAATACCCTACTGTTCCCGTGCGCCAACTTATACACGTGTACCCAGTCACACAGGCCCTTGGTTGGGAAGCACAAAATTACGGTTATGCCCAGGAACCGGGCAGGCAAAAGTGGGTGTGCACATAATTTGCCCGGGTATGTGCATAATTTGAGCATTCCGGTACTTGAGTATAACTGCAATTTCGCGGTACCAACCTCGGCCCACCTCGGTCCTGGGAATGCAAACAATTTGCCCAAACCGTTTCCCGGGTACAGATGCAAGTCGGGCACTCGGACTGGGTATAGCGGGCTGTCTCTTATACACATCTAGATGTGTATAAGAGACAACCTCCGCACGAACTAAATCACTGAAATGGTTCAGCGGCAGCTGCTTTGCCGTTGTTACGGACTGCGGTACTCTCTTCTCCACATTGTTGTATCCGTATGCAATTGCCACGTCCTGCATTACGAAAGAGGTGAGATGAAGGTCATGAACCAACGGGCCTAGATCAGTTGGTACGCCCATGAACTGTTGAAATATGAATCAGACCCGAGTTTGAATCCAGATGCAACCAGATGAACAGAATAAAATGATTCTGAATTCGCTGGAGCCAGTCAGTTCAATGATCATATCTCAAGGTTGGAGATCCTCTCAAGAAAAAAGAGAGAGAAAAGGATAAAAAAAAGGGAAAATGCTGATTGTCAGCTGCAGCTACCCTGAGGGTTCGTCCAGGAGGTTACATTACCTACACCTACTCCCAAACATAGTTCAATCTTCTTTTGAAATGAGAATTTGTGCTAGTGCTAACAGTCAAATTTCAGGACATTTCGGACTTACACTCCCCAGAATGGGCACGGAGCCAGGACCATAAGGACCTGTTTCTTTTTGTCAAAAAAAGAAGAAAGAAAGAAAGAAAGATAGAAAGAAAGAAAGAAAGAAGAGAGTATCTCACCTCCATCACATCGCAGGCATGCAACACGTCGCTTCTCGTGGGAGGGACTTTCACCCTTAGCTTAGCGGAAGCAGGCATTCCACCACTGTCACCATCACCGTCAATCAACTCCGTTTCCAGCTGCATTTTCTTCAACAGTCGAGCAACCTGCGGACAAGAAAAGCGCACAGTTCGTTACGAGCAGCACGCATGTTATCTTCCAAATTCCACCCATGAAGTTCCCGCTGCCGTCTTCCCCCGAACGGAACGTATATGCGCTGCTGTATTGAGTTCCGAAAAAGTCGATGACTCGAATAAAACGCATATGCATTGTATTCGAATAAACCAGCTGTTCGAATAGAACGCATATGCGTTGTATTCCAATAGACAGCAACCTATGAATTGTATTTGTTTACAACACATGTGTTATGCTCAGGGGAAGACGGCAGTCGTAACAGCCCTTTCGTTCTCTTACCCAAACCAACTAATTGACTCTGTTCTGCCTCCGATTGAAGAGGGGAAACTCACCACCTGCCGCATTGTTACGTTGTTGTCAGCAACTGCCCGGGCTGTTAACAGCGTTTGACTACGAAGTGTGCACCTATGCTTGCTTTGCTCATTGTTCGGTATGATTGTGAGATGGATTCGCTGCCTGATTGGAAGCAGTATGGCTGGCATGCAACAGAGTTTTAACCTAGGCTACCAGCCGGGCCGCCCGGATCACCCTGTTTTCCCGGGCAGATAGGCCGTGCAAGGACCAGGGAAGGTCCCAACAAACAAAACAAAAAATCGAAAAAAGAACTATGTTACTGAACAACTTTTGCCTCAGGCTTACATCGAAGTTCTTTACCAACTTTAAATTGTTTTTTTTATTTTTTTTATTAAAAAATCATTTTAAAAATAGATATTATTTATTTATTTATTTTTGGGCCTGCCGGGCAAGTGGTCCCGGGCCACTCTGGCAGCCTACGTTTTAACTCTGAAAGAGTCTGAAGAAAATCATTCCATTCGCATGTTGAGTGTGTTTATCATCACTCTGCTCTGAGCCAAGCACGAGCTTTCTTCCATCCAGTCCGTGGGCGGCGGGGCATTACACCTTCGAAATCAACAAACACCCACATCGCAGCAAGACATTGGGCCTCACTCCACGACATGACACTCGTGCCGATAGAGCTGATAATCAGAGATTCACCCCCCCCCCCCCCCCACAAAAAAAAAAAAAAAAAGATATTTTAATAAAAGGTATTCAAAGGGGCAAGCACCCCGGTGCGGACAGTCATGTGTACATGTCATTCAAGAAACACTACTGCAGGAGACCGTAACCTGGCAAAAGTTTTTGCTGCTGAGCAGATTGCAAGTGGGACGTACGAGAAGCCGTCGCAAAGATTGAAGTACGATCTTATTTCCCTCCCGAAAGGAGGTGCTCTGGGTTCGTGGGTGCTGGATCTGTGATTGTCGATACTCATTTTCCGCCTTATTCTTTGTTATTACCCTTCAACGAGTTGCTCGTCATCCCGTGGGCAGCGGGGGCACCGCATTGGCCTAATACTCTCTGCAGCGATTATCGCCGCACTGAAAATACAGCGAGAACGACAGGGTGTTCCAAGGGAGAAATGGTAGATCAAGACAGCGTGAAAACCTTCTCTCGTTTGGCAAGAAGGGCCCACGGGCAATACAGGCCGTCGTACGTACGATTCTGGCAGCCGAGATTGGGTCCCCGCCAACTGGCCTCTTCCTAGGGGATTACGAACCTGGAGCTGTACTTGCGCCAGATTCAATTTCCGGTAGGCTGTTCTTGCCAAACGGGAAAAGTGTGGGCACCAAAAACCAAAAGCGTTTTCGAGTGGGCGGTTTCCGCCAATTATCCTACGTTCTAGTCGCGGGTGAAGACAGTACTTGTAGAGCTTCCGTTACCTAACACTGGGTACTCAATGTTTTCACAAAGACTGGAAAGCAATAGATGTTCTGCATCAGCACGAAACAGTGTGCAGAGGAACACGATCATGACAGTCTTTGTGAAACATAAAAACAAAAAAAAATAAAAATAATAAAAATAAAAATAAAACACCAGAACCTAAATGCTGCAGAATGACCTTACTATGTTACTTGTCATAAAAACTTGTTAAAAGTATAAGACCTGTACTTCACGACATCCATTACAAGTGGAACGAACAGAGAAGATTAGCATGGCCCCTGTGCAAGGAAAACAAAACAAGAAAAAAAACATGGTTACACCGGACCCGGACACTGGACCAGTCCAGACGTCCAGCCGGACCTGTGTCTGGACTGCTCCAGACCGTCCGGATTGAAAAAATAATTAAAAAATACCTTTTCATTTGAAAAAAACGTTTTTTATTTTTTTCCCTTGGATTTGGCTACGAATTTAAAGATGGTCCTCAGCCAAAAGATTTTTATTTTATTTTTTTTTAAAGGACAACGGTCTTGAGATACCAACTTTGAGCTGACCGGCCCCAGGCAATTCAGAAATAGTTCGTTTTACTCATCAAGTTCCATCATCTGGATTCGAACACGGGTCTGTATTTTCAACAGTTCGTGGGTGTACGCACTGAGCTAGGCTCTTGGGTTAGCCAAAATATTGCACAACATATCTTTCTTTTTTTCAGATTTTTTTCATTTTTTTTTAAGTCGGATTTTTGGGGGGGTTGGGGGTGGGGGGATGGATCCGGAGTCCAGACACTCTGGACCGGACACCAGAACCAGAGCGTCTGCACGGCGGTCCGGACGTCCAGATCGTAACCATGAAAAAAACAGTACAAAGACCACCTTACCTCATCCGCACCAAGTGAGACACCAACATGCCCGTTGATGTAGTCCAATGTCGTTTCGACGAAACGGCTCGATAAGTCTGGGTAAATCACAGACGTGCCATCAGCCGACACCACCTCGACCGGCTCCACAACGAATTCATCTCTGCAGTATCCTGAGAACATGGTGACCTGTCCCACAGTGACGACCACGCAAACTCAAAATGAGTCGGTGAGCAGGTCATGAATAAAAGAAAACGACGTACCATCGGCTGCAGTCGCAGCAGTCAGCAAGTCCTGATCGAGGACGGTGAAAGCAGACCCAGATGCACATATATTTCACACAATGCGAAACACGCTAGGAGAAGATTGTATCCTCCTGACAAGCAGGAAAAAAAAAAAAAAAAAGTGCGCAAAAGGTCATCAAACAAGGGGTGCATTGGGCCCTATCTACCTCAAATCAGTATCCTCTCTCTCTCTCTCTCTCTCTCTCTCTCTCTCTCTCTCTCTCTCTCTCGTGTATAGTAGTATACACATATCATGGCCGCTTTTCTTTCTTTCTTTTTTTTCTTTTTTCTTTTTTTTTCCCTTTTTTTCCTTTTTTTCCTTTTTTTCCTTTTTTTCTTTTTTTTCTTTTTTTTCTTTTTTTTCTTTTTTTTTTCTTTTTTTTCTTTTTCTTTTCTTTTCTTTTTGCGCATCAGCGTTCAGCGCACCGCACACATGCGCGGCAAGTATGATCTGGACAGTTTGGACAGGGATCAGGACGTCGGCATCATGACCATGGAGACCGCATCCTCCTGGCAGCCAGAAGGAGACCAGCCGAAGCACTGCCCGAACCACTGCCCTAACCACCGGCCAAACCACTGACCTAACCACTGCATTACCAAACACCCAGACTTATTTCAGGGCAGTCAAAGCGCACCCAGATGCAGATATAGTGTCACATAACTATGGACTAAAAGAGCGCACTTTGCAAAACAAACGGTTAAGATTAAAAAACAAGCCAAAGATGATAGGCACACTGAGACCATTAATTATTTCTTTTAACTCCCCTTTCACCATGCCTCTCACATACAAGGCTCGTCACGTTGATGAAGTCGAGCGCGAGCTGCCCACATCCCCGTGTGGCATAGCGGCCCACTTGTACGGTGTGAGAAAGAGGCAGAGTAAGGGGGGAGGTGATCAACACAGGAAGAGAGATGAAGAGATGAGCACCAAAGAACGAAAAAGGGAACGTAAGGATAAGAAAAGGCTCAAGAATGAGCCTGTCCTTGACTACAGAGAGGACACACATTGTCAGGATGAGGTGGATGGGCACATGGAAGACATACCGTCTTCACCCGAATAGAACGCCCGGTCATTATAGCTGTATTTGGTGCAACTTTCAGTCTAGATACAGTGATAATGACCGGGCGTTCTATTCGGGTGAAGACGGTAGCTGAGCGTTCTCAGCACAACAATTGCGACGACGGCGCAGATGCAGATATATGTCACATAATGGAGAACAAGCAAGGAGAAGATTGCCTCCTCCTCTGGAGCAGAAAGACACCAGCCGAACTACCGTGTAAACCACTCCTGAACATATTTCCAGTTACAACACCGACACATGCCAGTGGCTTGCCAGCGTCGGCAACAGCTTTGATACAGACTTTAAGCCCTTTCATTCGCAGTAAGCAGCAGGCGCAATCTTGTACTTTCCACAACATGTAGCGGAAGACGGGGGGTGAAGCTTTCTTATAACCAACAAGCACTGGTTTCAAAGAGCAGGGTAAGTGAGAGGGGAAAAACACACACACATACACACTCACACACACACACACACACACACAGTGTCACACACACACACACACACACACACACACGCTCGAACACACACACACACACACACACACACGCTCGCACAACACACACGCACGCTCGAACACACACACACACACACACACAGTAACACCAACACTAACACCTTGGCGCTCAGAGAAGACAAACAGCAGCAACTCAATGTGGAAGTCACATGTCTGCACCAGAGTACAGAGCAAGATGTCGTCGGAGTTGATCGGAGGGAATCAGGATTGTGTTAAAAATGAGATTATGGCACACAGCATAAGTTCCACCGCATTGGTCCCAGACTGATCCCGCAGCCCGCAGAGCCTGAGCATCTGATAATCTGCGATAAGGCTCGGGTCAGCAATCGTCAGCAGCTAGGTTTCTCATCAGCAGAATCTTCTTTTCTTTTTTGTATTCGCATAATCCTCAGAGCAGTGATATCTGCCGGTGATTTCCAAAAGAACTTCTTCCCCCCCTCCTCCCCCCCCACCCAAAAAAAAAAAGAAAAAAGAAAAAAAAAACTTGGCACACAACCCCACCGTCCATACACTGACAGCTACGATTTATTCCTTTCGTGTTTTCTGTTTGTTTTTGTCCAAAGGGGGTGGTAGCCCCTAACTTTATTTGTATCGATTTGGATTCAAACATGAGCCCTACCGTTCCTTAAGAGTCAGATGCGTGAGCTAGTCAGTCACATGGGGCTGGCTGGGTACGCTTAAAGGTGTGCAATTAAATCCCCCAAAAAGCAGATAAACAGTGAAATTGACTCCGTCGCACGCAACAGCACACCGGATAAACTGTCGTGTTTTCTATCAGACGGAAATAAAAGTTGATGGGAAAAAAAAGCTCCTAAACATCAGAAAGAAATACACACCACTGTATTCAAGACGATTTTCGCTCTTGTCAGATCTGTTGCCGTGCACTCAATGAATACATTCTTCGTATCCAACCGTATTGCTGAATGTGCCCCATTGATGATTGGTGGCAATGACAGCACCGTCCTGATAGAGTACAAGAGAATTAAAGAGAGCAACAGACCCATCAACCAATCAACAAGACCATCGAGCCACAGAGAGAGAGAGAGAAAGAGAAAGAGAGAAAGAGCAAAAGACAGAGAGAGAGAGAGAGAGAGAGAGAGAGAGAGAGAGAGAGAGAGAGAGAGAGAGAGAGAGAGAGAGAGAGAGAGAGAGAGAGAGAGAG